GCGTTCAGCGACAATTAACAGTAAGGAAGCAGCAAGCAGGATTGTAACAATGGAAACTGGAAGCTGCAACTGGAAGCTGCAATCCTCACCCTCGCAGCCTGGTGGCCCCGCAAGGGGGCCGACGGATCTTCATCCGTGTCCGCTCTGTGACGGCGCGGGTGTCCAGCTGAAGAGCCTCCCAAGAGGCCCAAGATGGCCGAATCAACGTTTCCGCCGAGGCGTCTTTGCGACGCGATGGAGATCTGGATCCCTCGACTCCCAGTGGTTTTTGACGATTTCGTTGGTTCCTGCAGGCTTTCAGCATCCGAAGGCGTTCTGGCAGTTGCGCCTCGCCGGGAGAGCTCTGAGGGTGCCCAATGTGTCTCGACCGGCCACCAGAGATCAGAGATCTAAACCGAAAGCCGAGCGACTCTGCAGTGTCCACCTCAATCCGATCGATCCGATACATCGATTTTGCCCTGGCCGAACCCATCCGCTGGGATCCTCTGGCAATCCCACGTGGTCCGACGCTTGCGGGGCGCTGTTTCTGTGCACCCCCGTGCGGCATTACAGTCGAGATCCGATTCCAACTCCGTGCCGATGCGTGCCGAGCCGGCGCACATTCCGATCCGATCCGATTTCTGGACTCGATTCTGATTGATCTTGCCCTGACCAGCAGGCCTCCAATGCCAATACAGTCAGTCACCCCGCTCATGAACGTGGGGTTTTGGGCTATCGAGGTCCCGCCGCCGATCTGTTGGCGATGCATCGCCGACTTCAAGTCGATGTTTCCCTCAAAGCCAGTGTTCACCTGTTACTCTGTTACTTGCGTGCCCTACACCTACGGGCCCAATTGACGCTGGGTTATCGGACCCCCCCGCTGGGGTTTACATGGCTGTAGAACTCTGTCGAATCCTGAACCCCACCTTTTTCAGAAGTCCGACCTGCAGGGGTAGAGGTCACATGTGGTTGCCAGTGCTGGTACCCAACTATTCCCTAGGATGCAACTCCTCGGAGATTAAGTTCAGCATCGGCGCTGGCATATCAGTGGGCCGAACTGCCCAGTCCCGCGCAATGAATCTGGTCAAAGCAATACCGGGCATGATCCCGGGAATCTGATGCCGCTTACCCTGTACCAATCCTCGGCTCAATTCGGGCTGATCCGGCTCGAGGACCCTCTCTCCTGTCTCCGCGGCTCTCTCAGGCTCCCACGAACGAACGAACGAACGAAGCAGCCATACGCCAAACGCGCGTGGGCAGGACACCTCTGCGAGCGAGCGGGCAACGCCAAACGCGTAGACAGACAGGAGACGCGCCAAACGCGCGAGAGGACAGCGCCGACGCGCCAAATGCTTGCCGGCTCCCGCGAAGGCCTCCAAGAATTCGTTGCCTCCTGACCCTCGCGCGCTCCCGGGGCCCAGGCAGCCGACACTACGAGTCTCCGAAGGCGCGGCCCCGGGGGCGTCCGGACACCCCTCCCCGAGGCCAGCTCCTCGCCGGGGGCCCCTTCTCTTCGGGGGCGGAAAAGAGGGGGGGGTGATGACTACTCCAGATCTCGTAATAAAAGGGAGGGGGTCTGGACCCTCCAAGACAAGCCATTTCAGACCCCCCCTCGTGGGAGAACCCTCCAAAACATCGTTCCCAGACCCCCCCAGAAATGAGACCCCCCTCCCTTTATTACGAAATCTGGAGTAGGGGTGTGTGGATATCATGGCGCGGGCCATGATACCTCCGCAGATTTCATGGCGCCTCCTCTTATCTCATTGCGTCCCAGGCCCCCCCCGCTGGGCCGCGCACATGCCGCCGGTCATGACTTGCACCCCCCCCCTCTTGGACACCCCCCTCTTGGCCGCTCCCGATTTCTGACGCCCCCCACGGGGCCCGAACACGGGCCCGGGAGGCCCGACCTGTCGAGGCGCAGTGCCCGGCCTGCAACAACTCCGCCCGCGGATGCTCCGATGCTCCGATCCTTCGATCCTTCCATCCTTCGATCCTTCGATCCTTCCATCCTTCGATCCTTTGAATTCTTCGATCCGGGGATCCCAGTGCTGGCCCTCGAGCCTCCGATCCTTCGACCCTGCAAGCCCTCGAGCCTTCGATCCCTCGATGCCTCGATCCTTCGATCCTTCGATCCCTCGATCCCTCGATCCTTCGATCCCTCGATCCTTCAAGCCCTCGATGCCTCGATCCCTCGATGCCTCGAGATCCCTCCGCGTCACCCCTGGCCGATCCTGCCCTCGCCCTGGCCCCGCCCTCGACGCCAGGGAGGCTCCGCTCCTCTGGCCCCCCCTGCGAAGCTCAGAGCGTGAATTACCTACCCCGCTTTCGCTTCCAGGCAAAACCAAGTCGTACCACGCGCCTCCTCGTGAAGCGGCCTGACCAGTACAGGCCGTAGTTTGGCATCGCTTGGTATCTCTTGGAAGCGAGGGTGGTCAAAAGCGAGGTAGGTTTGTTTGCCCCCTAGAAGCGCGGGCGAGCACGTGGCTCCCCGGGGGTCTGGGCCCCCGCCGCAGGGGCCGGCTCCTCTCGAGGAGGGAAAGCACGGCACGAGCACAAGCTCGTACGCACCACCCACCAAACCACCCCAGCCCAACCCGAAGGCCTCGATTTGCCCTCCATTTCCAGTGGGGGGGGGGTCGGGGAACATCGAGAAAACACACATATGGAACCCGTACCCCCCCCCCAACCCGAAGTTCGGGTCTTCGGGTGGGGTTGGGGTGGTCTGGTAGGTAGTCACATAAACACAAGCTTTCGGCGCTCCGCGCGCATTGGGGGCCCCCTGGCGGCGCCTCCGGCGCCGCACCTGGCGCGCGGAGCGCGCCAGGGAGGGGGCTCTATCCCGGATCCAAGGAACCCGCGCGGACCCTCAGGAGTTTATGCTTTTACCAGCCTCAAACGTATCCCTATCCCTAAGATTGGCACGCCAAAAGGCGATGACAATCTTAGGGATTCGCCCTCAAAGAATAAGGGAATCCCTGAGATTGGCATCGTGGTAAGGAGGTGCCCAGCATAGGGATAGGGATATGTTCCAGGCTGGTAATGCTTATGCTGTTTTTTCTTCCTCCATCCTCAGCCCGAGCCGTTTTCGGATGGCCCCGGGGCCCGGCGAGGGCCCCCGAGCGAGCGAGGGAGCGTGCCTTGTACCCGACGGCGCGCGTGCAGGGCGAAGGAGAGGCTGTCGCAGGATGCCCTCAACAGCCGCTCCAAGCCGTCACTGCCAGCTCCCAGTCGCGCACAGCACCGCCCTAAGGGCGGAAGCAGTCAGCCAGGCGACCGCGGAGACCGGCAACTCCCAGAATGACGTCAGTCCATATGCCCCCATGTCTCTCTCGGATTGCCGCGCTGTCTCTGGCCAGCCGGCTTGCGGAGCTCCAGGGTTCCTGGCTCAAGCACCGACCATCACATTGAGTCTTACCCAGGTTTTGCGGGCCAGTTGCGCCATGAATACCAGATGTCTTTTCTTTTCCAGACACCTGCAGCACCGTTACATTGGAGATGCGGCTGATTTACGCAGGTGGGACTCGAGACATTCTGCGGAGGCATCGGTTCTGAAATCTGTCGATGCGTCGCCTCTCAGCTCTGTCGGCGAGGGACCCAGCATGCCGAAAACTGCGAACTTTCTCCCGTTGGGGCTGCGACGAACTTGCAGCATCGCGAAACGTCACTACCCGAGCCCTACAGACCCCACCTTCCTGCCGCTCCGTGGTGGCCGCGGGGCCCGACACCGTGCGCGAGCCTCCCGTGTGGGAGACGCAGCGCCGACATCTCAGGGCTCGACGACTCGAGGACACCAGGGCCCCCCCTGCGCAGGGCCGATCTCGATCCCATCGGCCCCACTCGACTCGAGATCGCTCTCGGGCGATCCGATCCGATTCGACACCGACCTCTTCGCGATCCGTTGCGGCCCGGCGCTCGCATGGCGCTGTTGCGCGTCCCGGCGCGGCCGCTCCGCTTCGGTTGCGGCTCCGTGCCGGCCCTGCCCGATGCGACACACCCTTGCGGATCCGGTCCGCTGCCCCGATTCGATGCTCGTTGATCCTGCCCCGCGAGGAGAGGGGGAGCGCGCCCCTGGTGAGGCTTCGGGTCGCGGCGCACAGACAGGCCCCCCAGGCAGTCCCGGCCGGCCTCCACAGGCCTCTCGTTTCGGAGGCAACTCCCGGGAGGTCACCTTCTGATCTTGCCCTGGTCCGAGCTCCTCCGGTTCAGTCCAGCCCAATCTCGCTTAATCCGGACTTCCCCCGCTTGCTCTGGAATCCCGCTTGTGATCCCGCTGAGGCCGCGGCCCAATCTGGCGCTGCAGCTCCCCAGTGCGGCCGCATCCTCCTCATAAATCCCTCCGACGAGGACCTCCCGGCGGTTGCCCCTGTTGCCTCGAGCAGCCCCAGCCGGCCCCCGCACGCCTCCCGAGGAGCCCGGGGCGGTTGCGACACCGCAGCCCCTGGGGCGCTCCGCGCCCCAGGGGGCGCCGCCGCCGGAGGCGGCGTCAGGGTGTGGAGACCGCCCCGGACCTGCTCGGCGGGCCAGCCGAGGCCAGCTGGGGCTGCTCGGGGGGGGGGCCCGTGGAGGGCCGGCGGTGCGCAGCCCAGAGGCTTCGGTCGCAGCTCATAGCAAGGCTGCCCGGGTGCCCTTCGGGGTACCCCTGCAGGGCTCGTTTCGATGCCGCCGCGTCGATGCGATCCGATTTCGATGGCTTCCGATTCTGATTCGATTCGGCTTCGGATTCCGATCTGGATTCGGATTTTCATTCCATACTAAATCTGCCGATTCCTGCCGACTTTTCCCGACTCGGTTGCCGTTTTTCGCCGATCCGATTCACTTCGATCGCCGATCCGATTAATCGATTCGATTCTGGGGATGCCTGCCCTTGCGGCCTTGCCTCTGCGGCCCGTCCTTCGCCAGCCCTTCAGGGTGTTGACAGTGCGCCGCCCCAGAAGTGCCCGCTTCGGCGTCCAGGGCCCTGGCGCCCTCCCCGTCCGTCCTTCCTGTAGATTTCGACTGCACTGGGGCCACCCCGCCGCGAGGAGTGGGCGAGCTCGTGGCAACAGCGCTCTCCGGACGGCAACCCGTGGGGCGGCGTCGTGCGCCGGGCGCCCGGCGAGACCGCCTGGCTCCCCGAGGGCGCGCTGGGCGGTCCCGACGGCGTGGCCAAGCTCGAGGAGCTCCGCCAGACGACGACGAGGACGACGACGAGGACGACGACGACGACGACGACGAGGATGAGGAGGAGGACGAGGAGGACGAGGAGGACGAGGAGGACGAGGACGAGGACGAGGACGACGACGACGAGGACGACGAGGACGACGACCAGGGCCGCGAGGACGACGACGAGGACGACGAGGACGACGACGAGGACGAGGACGAGGATGACGACGACCATGAGGACAACGAGGACGAGGACGACGAGGACGACGTGGGCAAGGACGCCGACGACGATGAGGACGACGGTGAGGTGGAGGAGGAGGGCCAGGACGATAACGACGGCGGCGATAAAGACGAGGACGATGACTACAATGCGGACGAGGTCGACAAGGTCGACCAGGACGACCACGACGACAAGGACCACGAGGATGACGAGGACGACGAGGACAACGAGGAAGGAGGACGATGACGATCACGACGGCGATGATGAAGACGAGGACGAGAACGACGACGACGACGGCGACGACGCGGACGACGACGACGACGAGGACGACGAGGACGGCCACGACGACGAGAACCACGAGGATGAACACCTCAGTCTGGGCAGGTGCTTCCATGTTGAAACATTCCGCAACATAAGCAGCAAGACATGCGTAACGGAATGAGGCGATCGATCATCGAACGTATCTATAATACATGTATAAAGATGGGCTGGCAATTCCACGCTGGTGCGCACGTGCGCGCGCGCGCGCTCGCAGGGAGACGCTGCCGAGTAGCTAGCATCCCAGCGCCAGCGCATCGCGAGCGCGCTCAGCCGTCTGAGGCCCGCAGGGTTGGGCGAGCATCTCGAGCCTCCCCACCCTTCCGCCTCCCTCGCTCCCTCCTTCCCCCTTCCCGCGTGCCTTCCTTCTCCCCCTCCCCCTCCCCTCCCCCCGTGGGCCGTGGCCTTCCCCCTCCCTGCCTCGCCCCCTCTCCTGTGAGCCCCGGGGCCCGCTCGCGCGGGCCTCGCGGGGGCTGCCCGCCGCACCCACGGCGCGCCGCTGCGCGCTCGCCCCGCGAGCCCCGGCATCTCTTCGCCCGGGCGAGGCTTCGGGCGGGGAGGCGACCCAGAGATCCACCAGCGCATTGACAAAAGTCAAGACGGAGGCCTTTCTCCATTCCCGGCCTCTGGGGGCCCTCGCCGGGCCCCGGGACCGCCAAAACACGGCCCAGGATGAGAAACTGGGTCCGGGGAGTGGGTCGAGACTTCTCTAGGTAGGGGATCAAAAAGTGAGCCACGGCATCTCTTCGCCCGGGCGAGGGGTCGGTCGGGGATCGCCGAGCGCGTTCCACCACTCGCAAAGTGCCTGCTCGTAGACGTCCGAAAAACACACCCGTCTGCTTCGGCGTCATTTGTTGCCGATCCCCCGAGGGGGATCCCAGGCATTTGCGAGCAGTTCCTTTGCGAGCAGTGGAGCGCGGTCGTCGACCCTGGGGCGCACGTCTTTCCCACCTATTGCTGGGCCATTTCTGTATATTGATTTTGAGGCGCCTATCTTCCGCAGAATTATCAAGCGCGAATTATGTGAAGAATAGGCGCGGCCGCGCGCGCGTATTTATTGTTTAGGCAATGAATAAGTAAAACGTAGTCAACAAGCAGTAGAGACATCAGCAAGAACTAGGCGACGCGCTGGCGCTGGGCCTGCGCCAACTCTGCACATTTATTTTTTTCGCCCATTCCAGATTGCCTCGAGCAAGGCGTCCTCCGTATCGTTTCTATGTTTCGCTTCTTTTTTGTTCTGATTTGTCCAGGCCGGGCCGGGACAGACCAGTAGCCTGGCCGGCAGGGCCGGGGCCAGCGCCAGGCCGGGGTCTTGGGCCGAGCGGGGCCCGGGTGGGGTCGGCCCAGGGCGGGCCATGGCGAGGGCCGGCGCCGCGGGCAGATCTCTTTCGGGCCGGCGGGGCCGGGGTGGAAGCCGAGCTATAGGCGGGGCAAGGACGAGGTCGGGGCGCTCGGTCGGTCAGGAGGCGGCGCTGGGTCTGGCGACAGACATGGCCCAGGGGCGGGGGTACTTTGATGAACGCGAAGACTATAGAAAGCTATATCGTCCTATAGGTTTCTATAGGATTGTATCAGCATATAGCATGGAATAGCGAAACATAGTGAACAAATGATGAAAGAATAATGACACATAGTGAAAAATAGCGAAAAATACGGAAACATTGGAAAATAGGAAACATATTGAAAATATTGAAAAATAGTGAAGCCGTTCGCAAAATTTCGAAGCAAAGCGGTTGGCCCGCTCCTCCTCCTCCCCCTCTTCCCACGAGAACCCAACAGATCTCCCAGCAGGAGGAGGAGGAGCAGGAGGAGGAGGAGGAGGAGGAGGAGGAGGAGGATCTCCCAGCAGGAGGGGGAGGAGGAGGAGGAGGAGCAGGAGGAGGAGATGATTTTGATGAGAGGGAGGATCAGAGAGCAGGGTAGGAAGGAGTAGCAGAGGAGAGGCAAAACAAACTGTAACAAAGAAGCACAAACGGTAAACAACATAAACCAAAACGTGTTTTTTTGTTGTTTTTGTTTTTTTCTTCAGAACAAGATAGAGAAAAATGGAGGTGAAAAAATCGGGGCGAAGAGAAAGAGAGAGAGATATAGAGAGAGAGAGAGAGAGAGCGATAGAGAAAGACAGAAAGATTGAGAGAGAGGAGAGACCTCACAAACACCATAGAACCCCAGACAAATCCAACAACAGAACAAACCAACAACACCAACAACAAAAACAACAACGCACACAAAAACAACACGAACACAACAAACACAACAACAACAACAAACAACAACAACTAAACCACACACTACAACATGTTTTATTTAGTGTTGTATTTCCCCACATGCTTCGTGGTTCTGTTTTCTTCCCTCCGCGCCGCACCCGCGACACACACACACACACACACACACCTCACTCTTCGTACAGCACAGCTCAGCTCAGCACAGCCCAGCTCAGCACAGCACAGCACAGCTCAGCTCAGCACAGCACACAGCTCAGCTCAGCTCAGCACACAGCACAGCTCAGCACAGCTCAGCACAGCCCAGCACGGCTCAGCTCAGCACAGCACAGCACAGCTCGTGGCACTTTCTCGACACACCGACAGGGTGCGGCAGGACTATTTGTGTAGCATCTCACCGCGGTCCCTATCCGCCCCATCGTCCAGCAAAGCAACTGCTCTTTCTCGACACCCAGGGGTGCGCAGGGGTGGTCTCTCACCGCTTCTCTATACGGCCCCATTCTACCAGGCATAGCAGGCGTGTGCAACTTTCTCGACACAACCAGAGGGGGTTGGACCCCCCCGCAGGGGGTCTCCACCGCGTCTCAATACGCACCCAGTCGTCCACATGGCAGTCGTTGCATTTCCTCGACAACCACAACCCAGGGTGCGCAGGGTGGTCTCTCACGCGGTCTCTATAACCACCATCGTCCCAGATAGCATAGCGTTGCACTTTCTCGACACCACAGGGTCGCAGGGGGGTCTACTCAACCGCGTCCTCTAAGCGCCCCAACGTCCAGCATAGCAGGTGTCACTTTCTCGACGGCATAGGGGTTGCCAAGGTGGGTGGACACCACCGCGGTCCTCTATACGGCCCAGTCGTAGTCCTCAGCATAGCAGCGTGGCACTCTCGACACAACAGGTCGCAGGGGGACCTCACCGCGGTCCCTATACGCCCCAGTCGTCCAGGCATAGCAGGCGTGGCACTTTCTCGACACCACATGGGGGTGCGCAGGGGGTGGTCTCTCACCGCGGTCCCTATACGCCCCAGTCGTCCAGGCATAGCAGGCGTGGCACTCTCTCGACACCACAGGGGGTGCGCAGGGGGTGGTCTCTCACCGCGGTCTCTATACGCCCCAGTCGTCCAGGCATAGCAGGCGTGGCACTTTCTCGACACCACAGGGGGTGCGCAGGGGGTGGTCTCACACCGCGGTCTGTATACGCCCCAGTCGTCCAGACATAGCAGGCGTAGCACTTTCTCGACACCACAGGGGGTGCGCAGGGGGTGGTCTCTCACCGCGGCCGCTTCTCTATCGCCCCAGTCGTCCGTGGGTCTCGCTTTAGCAGCGGGCACTTTCCCTTTAAAAGTTTGTAACAGTAAGGGTGCGCAGGGGGTGGTTTCTCACCGCGGTCTCTATACGCCCCAGTCGTCCAGGCATAGCAGGCGTTGCATTTTCTCGACACCACAGGGGGTGCTCAGGGGGTGGTCTCTCACCGCTGTCTCTATACGCCCCAGTCGTCCAGGCATAGCAGGCGTGGCACTTCCTCGACACCACAGGGGGTGCGCAGGGGGTGGTCTCTCACCGCGGTCTCTATACGCCCCAGTCTTCCAGGCAAAGCAGGCGTGGCACTTTCTCGACACCACAGGGGGTGCGCAGGGGGTGGTCTCTCACCGCGGTCTCTATACGCCCCAGTCGTCCAGGCATAGCAGGCGTGGCACTTTCTCGACACCACAGGGGGTGCGCAGGGGGTGGTCTCTCACCGCGTCCGCTATGCACGACGGTCGCCCGGGCACAGCAGGCGTGGCACATTCTCGACACCACAGGGGGTGCGCAGGGGGTGGTCTCTCACCGCGGCCGCTATACCCCATCACGAGGCAAAGCAGCGTGAGACTTTTCACGACACCACAATGGGGTGCGCATGGGTGGTCTCACGACCGCGATCTCTATATATATAACGCCCAGTCACCAGGCATAGCATGCGTGGCACTTTCTCGACACCACAGGGGTGCGCAGGGGGTTGTCCTCACCGCGTCTCTATAACGCCCCAGTCGTCCAGGCATTAGCCACTTTCTCGACACCACAGGGGGTGCGCAGGGAGGAGCGCGCGAGCGTCACCGCGGTCGTCCTATACCCCCAGTCTTCCAGCAAATCATGCGTGGCACTTTCTCGACACCACAGGGGTGCGCAGGGGTGTCACTCACCCGTCTCTATACGCCCCATTCTCCAGCATAAGCAGCTGGCACTTTCTCGACACCACATGGTGCCACAGGGGTGT